CTGCCACACTACAAATGAAAACTTACCAAGGTTTAATCAAGCTCGTGTACGGTGCGGTGAGGGCCTATTTCCATAAATCTACCCTTAAAGACTAATTTGGATATTGAGTCAGGTTTCTCCATAACACAAGGAATAACTCGGCACTATATAAGTCTATTTCAAAACTGTATTCACTCCATAATTTCATACGAGTTCTGTTATCTTTCTATAGAAAAGGTAGGATGGCAATATTAGGGCAAGTAACTCTAAGCAAAGGTATGAAGACCAAGATGGTGTGGCCTTTAGTATGGTCGCGGTCTTCTTTTGTTGAATATTAGTTGTTTGACCTTGTTTTCGCAACTTGGTCATAATGGGAGGAAGACCTAGAGGAACGCACATAGTCCGGAGTCGATAGTATGCATGATAACCTCAAGAGTCGGACCGTGGACGTGATTCATTCCCAGACGTTTCGTCGGCATAGTCAGTAAACCTTGCGTCTTAGCACCACACTACAACTTGTCAAAGAGAAAAGTGAAACCGACCCTTTGACCGATTGTCTGCAAAACAATTGTGATATCTCTCATTCTGCCATGGGCTATTCACCAGTCCTATATCCTCGTATCGCTCCTTCAATATCACAATTTAGAAATTGCTTAAATAAATGCTGTATGGTGTGCCCTTTTTAGCGAATTTCATGAGAACTCTCAAAATCCTACGCTGTCTTTCTCACCCACCCAGAGTCTCTCGCTTGCATCGTAGGATCCGCCTCCTACCTTCCTGGTTCAGGTATTTCACTCGACCCATACCACTCTATCTGTACTACTCGAAGCGCTTAGTATCAGAATTCTTAAACTGGATGGGAGACTTACTTGAAGCTAAATATCCCGAGCAATTCTCATGTTAAAGCCTTTGCTTCATGGACCACGTCAACTGTTAGTCAACTAGCTCTAGTCACCACTGCATCTACCGTGCTTCTATCGCGAGTGCCAAGTCGATGACTTCCTATGCCATAGCCTACTGTGTTTCAACCAACAAATGTTGTGGTTCTACTTGTTTTTATTTGGTTCAATTTTAGTCTCCCATCCAGCCTGAGAACCCTGATTTTTAGGGGCGGCGATATACGTGCCATCAAAGGATTGAGACAGTAATGGAAATAACGCTTCGAGCAGTACAGATAATGTGACAGGGGTCGAGTGAAATACCTGAACCATGAAGGTAGGAGACGAATCCTACGAGGCAAAAGGGAGACTCTGATAAGACCTATGGGAAGGGGTGAGGGGGTGAGAAAGCCAGTGTGGGGTTTGGAGAGTTCCCATGAGATTCGCTAAAAGGGTCATACCATACTACATTCAAATAAGCAATTACGAAATTGTGATAGTTAAGGGATGATACTACAATATAGTATTGATGAATAGCCCAGAGCAGGAGAGATACCACAATTGTTTAGCAGACACTTGGTCAAAGAATCGGCTTGACTTGTCTTTTTGACGAGTTGTAGTGTAGTGCTAAGAATGGCAAGGCTCATCGACGATGCCGGCGAAACGTCTGGGAATGTACTCAGTCAATGGTCCAATGCTGAAAATCACGAATACTATAGCAGAGGACACTGGACTAGGCACGTTCCACAAGATCTCCCTGGCACTCCGACGAAGTTGCGAAAACAAGGTCGAAGCTAAAGGAGACTGTGACCAAACAGAAGGCCACACCATCTTGGTCTTCATATCTACGAAAACGAATCCTGTTTTGACCATCACAGGAGAGGGCCTTTGGTGATACGACAGCCCGGATGGTCAGTGTGATCCAATCACACTGAGCCAAGGAGGATCCAATATCATTTTTCGGTGAGACCGAGCCATGAAGTTTTTCACTATATACTTTCCCACAAAACGAAATTAAGCCCTACAATGATATATTATGAGATTGATCGAAATTCGGCTTTATTTAAATATCCATTTATGCACACATCCAATCAGCCACTCAGAGGAAGTCAAATATAAATAGGAAAATGGGCAAAACTAGGCATCAAAACAGTGCAAAAGGTACACAGAGAGGAATAATGAGTAATACAAACAGCAGATGTAATATACTTGACCTATATATGCTACTTACGCATCTGCCTCGAGCAACACCTCGGGTGCTAGCTGTAGCCACGCCTGGATGGTCCAGTCAGGCTTCAGTTGGTATAGCCGAGCGGCTGTTTGCAGTAAGCAGACCTTTGCAAGCACTGCGAATTCCTTACGATGCTTTTCAAAGTTGATCACGCGCGTTCTCTCCAATTTGGTTAGAACTTCAGCTCGATCCTGTGGACAAGCTGTCCGTTTTTCCTGAGTCTTAGTGGCCGAAACAGAAGAAGGTATATCTGAAATTGCGCTCACAGTTGCTTGATTTGTGGAGTTTACATTATTTGATGACGGAATATGGGGGAAGTTCACCAAAGCGGCATACTTCAATGAAGTTAAGGGTTCCAAGACTTCTGATGGTTTCTCTGTCCCCTGCTCAGTAGCCTCTTGTTCTGCAGCCCCCAGCTTCTTGATGGTTTCATGAAGGGTGGTCATGGTCTCTAAAGCCCCGTTGCTCAGCCTTGATGGGGGCCCTGTCGATTCGCCCCTTTGAAGGTAACTATTCAGCGAAGTTGAGGCTAATTTTCTCAGATCTTTGGTCCGGTATTCGGTGTCTAGGGAAGAGGTCTTTGAGGGGTGAATCAACTTTTTTTTGAAACGACGATCCGATGCCAAGGGAGGAGATATGCTGAAAATATATGACGAAATAATCGGTGTTACGGATGTGCATACACAAGCGACATGCCAACTAATACGTGTCTGAATTGAAACGTCCAGGCTGAACAAGACATTTTCTACACTAGTTAGCTCTTTTTCCACCAGAACTAGAACTTCATGCAATGAATTCAACGAAATCGCACTGGCATTTTTGAGGTCAGAGTGCAAACATCAGAAAATGGCATTTATACCTAAGTGGATATTAATTTAGAGATTTATTGACATTATTGTTCAGACACATAAGTCGGCTAATAATACATCCACTAAACTGCATACTTGTATAGCCTATTATAAAGAGGAAAAAATGAAATATCTGGATCACTTAGCATAGTAATTAGGCTTCAGCTCTTGTATGTAACATTAAAAGATCAGAATCCCCAGATAACGAATATTTTCCCCAAAGATAAATTAGGCATAAATTA